TATGTATTTTGAAAGCCTTACTGTGAGACACTGGTCTGTTGTTGGTTTAGGATTTGCTGCTAGGTTTCAGTGGGAGGACAGAACCCAGAGGGGTACAGACTGGGTCTGGAAAATGGTAGCCAGCCATGGTTCTATGATAAAGAACCCCTTTTTCCCAACAGCCAGACAATTCTTCTCATTGTCACTGCAAGTGTGAACTGTGTTCCAACCACTGCCTATAATCCCTTCCATGTGTTTGGGTAGTTGCGGTGTCTGTGATCGAGGGACGGTCTGTCTTCTCAGTAAGTTCAAGCCTACAGACATAACCACTGATGAGTTTGATACTAAGAAGCACGACTACGGTTTGCCAACACACCCAGAGCATATAGCTCAAAAGATGTCTTGCAACCTCTCCCTTCACAGAACTCCAGAAAATATGAGTTGACAACCCTGGCAAAACCACGAAATAAAAGACAAAGTATGCATTTCAAATAACACACAATATCTTTTATGTATAGTATGTTTGCTGACAATGCATGGTCCTCTTCACACAGAAAAAAAGGAGAAAGAACATAACCGCAGTATGTCATTGTGTCTGGATGTTCGGGACAGAGCTGAAGGGGAAGTACTGTTGTTTAAGATGTAAGAACTGGCTGATAATAAAGGACTGTCTCTCTCTTTACATGTGGTTAGCTTTTTTCTGAGGATGTGAGACTCCTGAATGAATAGGACTTTTGTTCATCTTCTCCCAAGCTTTCATCATGTTTTCAATTAAACCTTTGATGTAGAGGGTAGTTAAACCTTGCTGCTTTTCATTTATACATTGTTTTTTATTGAAAAATATATAGTTTTTAGGGCAAAGTAGGTAAACCCGATTACCACCTGACCGTGCATGTCCATCTATAAATCTAATCTTTCTACTGGAAGATGCTGCTGAGTGCAGCTGATGGTCCAATAAGGTATTCTTGTGATTATTGTATTTTATAACACTACATATGCATGTATGATCATTAGAAAGAAAGTACAGTATATGCAGTTTGGTGTGTGTCCACGCCTGTGCATTGTGAGTCGTTAGCTTAGGCAGGGTCTCACACTGGTCTGGGCGGTTAAGTAGTGAAAAAGGCTGAGCTGTGACCTCGTTCCAGTTAACTGCTCCTGACAAAAGCAAGTCAGCCGAGTGTTAAGTGTAAGTGGCATATGCCGTCTGACTCAAATCACGTCTTATCAGATGTGCCGCGCCTCACGACCACAGGGCAGTGCCGCCATCTTTATGCTCTAAGCCACTGCACTTTCAAATCAAACCACTGTTCCCCACCTTTGCTGAGCAGCAGCAAGAAGCCTCAACAATCTCGGTTATGGAATCACTCATAGTTAACCGTTTACAAGACCACCTGTACAGTTTGGGTTTGGGTGGCATTCGAAATATGTAAAACACAGGTGTCAACAATAACATTTTTGTTTTTCCTTTTTTTTATTATTTAGCATTAATGAAATTAGATTTTTTTTTTAAGTTTTGCAATATAATGATAGTATGCAGATACGCCTTAAGTTAAGCATAATACTTGTGTGTATACTGCTTCTCTTAGATAGACTAATCAAAAAATGTCAGCCAAAATGCTATTTTTTCTTGTTATCTAAAGATATTTTAACATTACAAAAAATTTATTTTCATTATTTTTTGAATAATAAAGAAACAATGAAATCACACCAGTACGGTAACCTTCGGTTTGTTGGACGCATTTGCCCTCACATCAACTGTTTCAACAAATTAACCACTACAGCACTGTAAATACTATACCAGCTATAATTACTGTAAGTACAGTATTAAAACAGTTGGCACTAACTGAATCAGTTCTTACTTGTTCTTGACACAGCTACTAAACATGGTGGGATTGGCTGTGAGGCGGTACAAAAATAGCCCTGTATGCTGACACCACAGGATATTTTTCATGAATGCCATAATGTAAACATATTTTTATGTGTACACCTAAAAAGTTATGTCAAAACACTAAAGCACGTGTAAAAGATTCATTGAGACAGAGCAGTTTTTTCCCACAACCTGGTACACTGACAGTTGCTTCAGTATATTTCATGATTTACTTTAAATTTTTCAGGCATCTGATTGGTTTATGAGCTAACTGCTAACTAGCCTTTTTTGTTTCTCTGCTCAGTTGGTTGTTGTGTGGTCCTCAGTGTCATTCAGCTTTCTCAAGTCTCCTGTCCCACAATTGGACAAATTAAAAATCCACCATAGTCTAATATCAGCTCTCCACCCCCACACGTGTGCCTCACTATCATCACAATTTAAATCAGTGAAAAACATTGCAGGTTCAGCTGAACCCACCAAAGTGTTTTGCTAACTAAAAATTTCACCTGCAAATAAAGAATAGCCCTCCGGGACAGAAATGACAGTGCAGATGAAAGTGTTGGAATGATAAAGTGCCCAAGAATAAGAAGGAGAAGGGTGGGGAGAAGGACGAGGGGCTTTCTAGCAATGAAAGATTTTGGCTGCTTTCACAAAATGCTCCTAATCCACTCTAAACTCCATTACATGTGGGACACTTTCACTAAGAAGACACAGATAAGCTCAACAATAGCAAGGAGGGCCCATCCAAAAAAAAAAAAAAATCAACAAACATAAAGAAGGGCAGCAACCACATTTTGGGGGGAAACTATTTCAATTTTAGATATGGCACCAAACGGAAACTGGGCCACTGTATGCTTTGATGTCTCAATTGTGTGCGTGTGTGCGTTTAATAGCAAAGAAACCAAAGCTTATTGATGGAACAAAAATGACAGAGACAGAGAAAAGGGAGAAAATGGAGATGTTGTGACAGAGACAAGGATAGAACAAGACTAGGAAAGCGGACAGCCAAAGAAAAAGGATGGATGAATAGAAAGAGACGAGAGTAAGATATGGCAGGGAAAAAATATGCCTCAGATATAGAAGTAAGAGTGACAGAGCTAAACTAATGTGGAATCCCAGTTGAATAGGACTTGATTAACTGTGCCACAGGGTCAGAGCAGGGTCTCTGTCTGCTGGGGCCTGGCTTATGAAAATGATATGTGTGCATATATGTGTGAGTGTGCAAGTTTTGACTGTAATTTGCACTTTTGAAACATGTGACTGCAATTTGTAAGACATGATATACGTAAATGGTTTTTCTGGTTGGCTTAGGGCAGCTGCACTTCTCTGTGATCTGGAGGGGAGCACACAGAAAACCTCATGAATCCTAGGATGAAGGCTTTCTGGTTTCTTAGAGTATGAAAAATGTAGGATTAATGCATGTTCATTTTGCCCTAAACACACTACAGCTTCTTGCTACGAGGCTTTTTTTTCTTGATCTTGTGTAATAAATACAGTCCACACCTCACATTTCCAGAGATCTGCTTTTGCCCCTCGCTAAAAATGGACAGCAGCAAAACTTTTGGTCAACAATATCTATATAGAAGAATTAAGAGTCGTAAAAGGTTTCAGTAGGTAAAACTGTGGAAGGGCCATTAACTTAAATTTTTGCCTTTTGTAAGTGCCTCTTGTTGGCCCCAACAAAACAACCAGCTACTAGTAACTCACTTTTTTCCTCATTTATTTCTTTGTTTTTAATTTGAATTACAATTATAGAATATATGAATTCCACTTTATGGATATTGGATATATGGTAATGCATATTTAATTTCCTTCATCACATTTCTTCCAAAAATAGCTAACTTTAAAAAACATTTGTTAAAACACACAATAATAAAATTACAAAGTAACTTAATGCATTTTGGAGTAACATCATATTTAAATCTATATGGGGAAACAGGTGGAATTGGTTCTATTAATGTTGTAAATTTGCAATATTGTACTTTGCCTAAAATAAAAAAGCAACCCATGATGTGCATGACTCTCAAACCTCAAATGAAAATGTAATTAAAACTAATGAAAATCAGAATTTGGTCTATAATGAGAGATTACATCAATCTATAGCGCAAAAAAACTGTCAGTTCTTTATTAAAACACAATATATAGACAGCAGTCTAAGTTCTCCAAACCTTTTTTTTTTGGTTTGATACAAAAATAAACCACACTGTCCCTGCAGTGGTTCTACTGACATTTTGCAGACAACACACCTGTTGACCATTTTGGATGTGAAAATCCTGCTGACAGTGTAAGATGTAGTGAATAAGGTTCCAGTCACACCTGGCTTACAGACTGATCAGTGACCACCTAGAAACCGCTCACCGTGAGGGATAATTTAGCACTCCCTGACCACTTGTAAGTTGCTGAAGGTTGATCAAAAGTTGCTGGGAAGATAAGACCTGCATATTGCTTTCGCCTATAATTTGAATGAAAGTGATGGATCTGTCTACAAACACCGTCCAAGCTCTCCAAGCTGTACTGAAACTTTGTAAAGTGTGACATAAACCAGAAACAAAGACCATTTGCCTTCAAACCAAAAGTTTTGAAACACGCTGGCATAACTTCACAACCCGTTCTTTCGCACTTTCTTAGTAATACTGCTGCTTGGCCAATATTTGGCAAGCTTTTGCAAACAAACATGAGAAACTACAGACATTCATGGAACTCTGCTAGCAATTAAAGCTATGGGTAGGAGGTCTTCGGTCCAGCATCTTCTCTGTGACCAAATTCATCCAGCCAGTTCCAGAATCAGAATCAGAAAGACTTTATTTATTCCCAAGGGGCAATTAACAGTAGTGGTTCCTTTCTAGTCGGGGAATAAATATATTTTTTGCTAACAACAAATCACATGAGAAACTTCATTACCCCATCTGGGGACATCTCCCCACAGTTTGTCAGATTTATAAACCTTTGGGTTAACCACGAGAGTTCCAGGTTTAAACTATTTCAGGTATCAGAAAGTGCAACCAACAGCTATGGCTGTGAGTATGAAAGAAATATATATTTTGGTTTATCAGAAAGTGAGCAGATAACTTGTTGTCAGTATGCTTACTACTCTCTATATAATCATCCTTAAAATGTATACTTTTAAAAGTGTGAGTCTCTTAACAGGCCTCACCTGGGGGCTAACGCTAGGACCGTAGCCCATGCCAGGCGAGTTCATGGAGTGAGGGCCCATGGGTGAGCTGATGACAGAGAAGGGTGAAGCCAGGCCATTCATTGGAGAGCTCAGCGTACTGATGGGAGAGTGGAGAGGGCCTGAGGGCCCCATGGACGTTGGGCTGAGTAGAGATGGGTGCATTCCACGGTGGGAGGTTGGAGACCCCAAGGGCGAAGAGGTCACCTGGCCTGATGAATCTGTTCAGGAAAAAAAAAGAAAGATTACACATTTTATCTTGAAGATTCCAATGAGCAAAGAAAATCACTGATAATAAACACGGGTAATTCTTGCCATCCCGTCATATTTTCTTATGATAATAAGGTCTTTTGATTTTGCCTTCATAAGATTTTCAAATCAAAATGAGACAGGAAAAATCTGATGCAAGGCTTCGCAATTTGGACCAAAAAGCCACTTTGATAACTAAGTTTTGAATAAACACTCAGATTTCTTCAAAACAACGCTCTCACACTTGGTTTCTTCCAGCCAGTGTCGTTGGCACCGCAAGGCTAGCACATCTGGTAAAGTGTGAAGGCAGTTCTTTAATGTGAGTGCTGTGCAGGAAAATGGACAATTCAGCAAAAAACACTTAAGACAATTAAATCCAACAATCACCAACAGTGGAAAAACCACAAAGTCAGCGGCTGAAGGGTTGTGGGTATGGGCAGAATGTCATGAAAAGCTTGTGTACATGAAGCGGGTGTTGGTTTTCTTTACTCGACTGTTTTTCTCCACCATCATTTTTGATGGATTAACATATCCTGAGAAACTTCAAAGTAATGTACCAACCATAAATGGACATAGTTTCCAGGTCTGAAAAGCGAAGCCAGCGTAGAAGTGCCTTAAACTCATGCAGTTCCAAAAAAGACTTGTGGTTGCTTAGAAGTGTATGGAAAGTGACATTCGGCTTTCTTAATCTGCAACTTCATTAAACACTTTCCTGATGAGCCTCACCTGCTAGTCTCAGGTCAAACTGAACAGAGGATTAAATCCATTTGTTAAACTGTGGTCCTTCTAAGAGTCACAAAGGAGAATAATCCAGGAAAGGCTTGCTAGCTAATGATTTGTAAACCATAAATCATTAGCCAGCGAGTGCACAGTTTCACAATCTCATTCATCCCTAAGTCACCACATCTGGTTTCCAAGATGGCTATGGCCAAAAAGCTGAAATCACAGATTTAAGTGGGACTTCACAAACCAGTAGGTGATGTCCTGGTGGCAAGATACCCCTTTTATACTGTCTATGGTCTCCTCTTTAACAGTCAATCCTGTTCTCAGCTATGTGTATAATGCTTAACACAAAGAGCAGAGCAGACAGTGAAGTAAAGGCAAACGTAGATATACAATGAAACTGAGACAAAGGAAAGAAACAAGTATGACATTAAAAGAAATAAAAGAGAGTAGAGACTTTTGGATATGGGGGGCCATGGATGTGGTAAACACTTAAAAAGACTGTATAACTTTACAAAGCAGTTCTGCTGCTCTCTCACAGACTGCTTCGTTCTGGTAAACTGAAGTCCTTCCTTGAGGCATCTACGAGGTCAGGGATATACACTGGATTTATATTGCATATAGCTTATGAATGGGGTAGTAGTGGGCTCAGGAAAATGACAAGCATGACCTTGCACCACAGCTGAGGAGAATCCTGCAGTGACTGAGACTGAAGTCAGAATGATAAGGATAAGGTCATGTGTACAAAAAGCTCATCTGCGCTCACAGCCGCCCCCCCCCCACCATCAGAGCTCTTTATCGTGACTGAGCTTTCCATCTTTCCATCAGCTGTCAACAGAGAAGATATGAGACAGGCGAGAACATTAGCAAAGAAGTACTGATATACTGTGTTATGTCACTGAGACTTTGGCAACTTTGTTGTATGTGTACTGATAACAAACCTCCTGTCTCAACTTTCAACACTGCAGTTCAGTCTTGCATACTTTCCATTTATGACTGAGACTGCCTTTGCTTCCATCATTCTTTTTTATAATCTCACATCCATTGACCCCATTTTTATTCATTAAATGTCCCACAAAGGGACAGACCGTTAAGACACACCCGCTTTTTGAACATAAATGTATTTATAGACATTATAATTTGTCAAACAACAGTGGCCTTATCAGTAACTGATTCACATAATTAGTTTTGCAAGCAAAATGCTGAATAATTAAATGTTGCAAAAATGTCCATGAATAATAATAATAATAACAATAATAATAATAATAGTGACATATCTCAGTGTCTCCAAAGACATTCCCTCCTTTTTGTATTTTAACTTACAACAATTCCTCAATCCATTTTTATAGCTGGCATTAGAGAGCTGAGGTTCACATCAGTTTCTCTGTTGTCCTTAAATACCCTCCCCTATTTTGACACTGCAAGTTCACTCTGTCTGCTCTCTGCAGTGGGAGCATAGACACATGTTATGTAATGAGTTGGAGTGTGGCCTGTCTATCACGCTCCCACATTTTGTACGTGACCAGGTTCCTCTATTTTCTGCACAGTGGAAAAAAGCAGATAGTTAAACTAGTTAAGAGCAGAGATTAGCAACTTTAGTTTCTTTTAGGAATTCTCCCCATCCTTTTTATTGCTACGTAGCCAAAGTAACAGCCATACAAACTCAAATTGTTTAAAAAAAATGCTACAAAATACATTTGCAGGAGCACTGGTTTTAGCAGCACTCTGCACTGAGTACCAGTGCAGTTTTCAGCTGAGTCAAACCAAATACTTCCTGCACATCTTGCTTGACTCAAAAGAACTTCCTGTTAGAAACGACACACACACACACCCACACCCACACTGAAACACCCTATCCTTTGGAAAATAAACAAACAGCCTTGTTAAAAAAAAGGGGCTAATAACAGCTCTGTATCTAGCTATGTTACTTCAGTGTTGGATCCCATGACTGATACTTCTTGAGCTTCTATCTAATGGTTAGATTTTTTCCTCCAAAAATATGTGCCCACACACACATAGCTCCAAAATAAATAAATAAATAAATAGCTAGCTAGCGCTTTTGCAGTCAGCAATTCCCATAACCCAACTGGGTTTCAATTCAAGCAGATAAAACGAGTGGCGGTATTAGAGTTGCCAATCTGCCATTGTAGCTCTCAGTGGGGGTGGAGGGTAGGGGAGAGTGGGACTCAGCAAACAGAATCCCAGCAAGGCCCCACCTAGAGGGGGGATGACAGAGACAGGCTGGGAGGTAGATCCGCCTGTTATGTCTCTTTTTTCCCCTCCCATTCATTCTTTATGTCCCTCTTTCTTCCGACAGCTTTTGGAGAAGAGGAAAATCCAAAGCAGAACACTTTCCCCCTCTAATGTTCCCCCTCTTTATGACCAAGCAGCAAACCATGTGGTCACACTGGATTGTATGTGGATGGTCTTGTTTGGACAAAGCTCCCAGAACATAAAGATTTCTCAATGCGAAATATCTGTGTGTGCGTTTGAGTGTACAGTATGCGTGTGTATGTTTACTCTTGTTGGAGTTGGGTTGCCAGTGTAGGATTACAGCAGGATGAAAAGGACTCTGTCCTAATCCTCCCCGGAGAGGAAAGCAGAAGAGAAAATTAGGGTAGAGGAGACAAGGAAAGAAAGGATAAGGAAACAAATAGTGGTTGTAAGGACAGAAGAGTGGAGAAGAAAAAAAACGCAGGAAGGAAGATCCAATGAGAGAAGGGGAATCAAGAAGAAACAAAACAAGAAGAATGACAGAGAAGAAAGGAAAGAAATGACTAGACTGGACAAGAAAAGTAAGCAAGGAGCAAGATGGAAATAAGGTTCCTCTGTACATACACAAGACATGTGCATTTAGGTTTAAATTAAGCTTTGCCAAGTTCTCCTTTGAGATAAAGTCCCAGCTCATACAACAAGATCTCAAATAATTATTATTACTATAAATATTGTCATGTGGATACAAAAATACAACTCAAAGAATCTCTGTTAAATCTTCAACCAACACTTTGACTTTAAGCCCTACTAATCAAGGAAAAAGAATTGGAGAAAAAAAAAAGGGGGGGGGGGGGCAGCATAGCCACTCCTGCGTTTCTTCATATAGCCAATTCCATCTTAACCTGTTAAACTTGAAATGGGAATATGCTTCATGAGCAGTCTTGGAAAAACAACCTCTGGCAGCCGTTTGCACTGTATGCAAGATATGAAATAAACCTGTTCAAAAGATAAGAGTGACTGAAAAGCCAATCACTGAAAAAGGGCAGGGCAGGTAAGAGCAAAAATAAAAATTAAGATAAGATAAGATAAAACTTTATTGATCCCACGACGGGGAAATTTTTGTGTTACCTCAGCTCAGGTACAGATATCAGAAGGAAATACAAATAAATACAAACAATAAAAAAATAAGTGAGATAATACATTATATACAGCGGTAGCATACACAGTATGTGATTCTGGATATGGTTGTGGAACTATGCAAGACATAAACTATACAGCTTAACATAACTATTGTACCACTACTATTCCTATAGACATGTACACACACACACATGTACACACTAAATATACATATGTATACATATACATACATATATACCTGAACATGTCCATACACATAGAAGGTCCGTTATGCATGAAGTGGTGACCGTGGATGTTCACAGTGTCCAGTGAGCATCGTGATTGAGGAGTTATAGAGTCTAACTGCTGTTGGGATGAATGATCTGCGAAAGCGCTCCTTCCTGCAGCGAGGGTGTTTCAGTCTCTGACTAAAGGAGCTGCTCAGCACACTCACAAGCTCATGCAGTGAGTATGTGAGTGTGAAGCATACTGAAGCATTCGCGAAATGAGTGGCAGCTGTCCAGGTTCTCTTAGCGTCAACTTAGAAAAAAGGGTGACTCACAGCTGAAAGCCACTTAGAGCGTTGCCGTCTGCAGGCTCTCCCTGTCAATTTGTCAAAATCGCCGGGCACACAAAAACAAGTGACAGCAACAAATAAGCAAATTACAGCTTGTTTTGCTGACAGAGACAAAGTTCTCCACTTATCACCTCTCCACTCCATTCAAAAGTCTCCTACATCTAAACAATGCCTCCCTCCCTTTAGCTTTCCTTTCTTGCTCTTTTGTTCTACTGTTGAGTGTTATTACAAGGGGGAAATTTTGCCAGTTTATTATCTAGCTGTTACTCACTTGTGTGTTTAAAGATGATAAACGGACGAGAATCAGATAAGAAGAGATAATGAGATGACAGATCAATG